AGTGGGGTAAAACTCAAATAGACCTCTGGACATGAGTATAGATTCGGCCTGAGGGGATTGCTACTGAGAATGATTCCTCTAAGTAAAATGTGAGGGGAAACTTTGGAAACTAGCAGGAGTAACTAAAAGTGGAAGGAGCATGAGAATTTGTGCTGATGCGATGTGAGCGTGAGCGAGCTGCCAAAAGTGCGTTTATGATGCACGGCCATATAGCCGAAGGTTTGATGAGGCACGGAAGCGCACAGCCGAGTCAAAGGATAAATGCGAAGATTTTGCGAACACGTAAGCAATGCGGCATGGTGATGGAACAAGGAGAAAGTTTGACGATAGAAGCGGTAAGTGGGATGTGGACGTTAACACGGCCGTAAGAGACGCGCGTGCAGTAGTATGCTGAAGATTTAGATTTCCAGTCCAAGTGTTGCATGCAAGTTGGTGAAAATTTTGATGCAGAAAAAGATAGATACATGAGAAATTGTAAGTACTAAGTATATATGAGAGCGTGCAAAGCGCTGTTCGGAACTGAGTAGGTAGTGGTAGTATGTAAACAGGGTCCATAACGCAAGTAATGAGAATATAAATGAAATAGTGTCAGAAATAATGTCAGTCTAATGCAGATTGAGATAAGTACGCACCAATAGACCGGCGGAGGACATGGACAGGACAAGGGAAGGACACATGATGGAACTGAAGGGAAGCAGATGCGAGCCAAAGTGCATGTGTGAGTCGCGGCCATTGGCCGATAACAGAAATGGTGCACGCCATGTTAGCTATAGCACGCGCTATGCGAGGACCTAAGGGACACTTCAAAAATGGCCTCTATGAGGCTACAAGGACTCCAAGTCCTACACCGCACTCATCCGGAAGTTTCTTGCATTTGTCCGGAAAATCCTTCTGAAGTTTCCTGCGCTCCTCCAGAAGTCCTTCAGACTTCCTTGGACTTTCTCCAGACATCATCTGAAATTAAGGGCACATACTTAGGTAAGGGGCACAGCACACGAGCTGAAGCCAAGCCTCTTGGAATCAGTCCTACCCTCTGTGCACAGTCTTAACAGAAGGTGAGTTCATCATCTACTATTACTCCTAGGAATTTGTGCAATCTGGATGGTTCTATGAGATGGTTGCAGATGGTGATAGATGGTCGAGGGACTGGGAGTGTTTTGTTCCTGTGATTGGGGTCAGTGATGCATTTTCATGAGATGCATAGTAGGGCTGTTTTATCTAGTTCAAAGTCAGCATTATGGTCTCTGCTCCAGTCTAAAGTGCCCCCCAGTTTCTCCATCATGTCCTTAAGTTTTCCATTCGCTTCCTTGTAGTCTTTTCTGCATGCTGCTAATGCTATGTCATCTATGAATCCTAGGCTGAGTTCTCCTCATCGTGGGTTAGTATTAGCTACACGTAGTACAGGGGAGCTGTAAAATAAGAATCCTATTACCGATGTAGCACTCGAGCTCGCGCTAGGCTCGTATTCACTGATTTCCCAATATACGTTCAATGCCCGTCACTATCCGATGTAACCCACACAACCCGATGCAAACCCGACACTTTGACTAGTGGACCCGACGTTTCGGCCGCATCGGACCTGATATTTTCCCGCACACTTGTCCTATCCGTGTCCTGTCCCATCTTGCTAGCCCCGCTAGGTGCGTAGTTGATTATTTCACACATTACTCATGTCGTAGCCAGCGCTATTACATGTTTTCCCATCATCCGCAGCACCTCGTGTTTATTTACATGTACTTCGGACCCGAAATTGTCGGCCGCTACTTTCGCCTACGGCCTTCCAGATTTCTACGTACTTATATATATATTGGACTGACTACGAGTATTTTCATTATCCAAGTAGTAGGGAGCCGTTTCCCGATACTTAGTGGTCAAACCCGATATTTCGTAGTTCTTAGTTGACATTGCGAATATTACCACTCTTTCTATCCGAAATACCTGTCGTTATCATATATCCGCATACTGCTCGCTTTCCCGACGTTCGCTATCACCATTCCTGCTAACCTGCTAAACCCAAACCCGAAACCCGCTAACCCGAAACCCGAAAACATCGGACCCAACACTTTGGCGTCGGACATCATAGATATACCTTCGGACTTTGTTTCCCGCGCTCGAACTTTTGACCATTTTATCATTTCACTAACTACAGACCAATCCAATAGCTAACCCCTCGGGTCGAACGCACTTGTCTTGCAAGTATAAGCAGACTAGGCTGTGCACGACCACAACATTTTTATATTGCTGGCTACTTACTTCGTGTAGTGCCCAGCAATTGTTGTATCTCTACACCGATAAGGGGCATCCTTGGTCTACCCCATTCGAGATGTTGAAGAGGTCTGAACGGTAGTCATCAAAGTGCAGGGTCATTGATCTGTTGCTCAATCATTTGGCATACCAGTTGATGTATTCCAGTGGGATTCCAGCATATCTCATGTTGTGTAGCATTTGGTTGACCACTACACTGGGGAATGCTGCCTTGACATCTAAGAACAATATTGATATGAAAGGCTCTGGTGAGGCCCACACATCTGTTGCGAATTTTGTAAGTAGATGAAGGGAGTCTACTGTTGATTTCCCTGGTCACCCACTGAAGTGCATTAGCGGGAGGTAGGGAACTGCATGGGTATGGGTATACCTGTGTGAGTGCGGAGTATGGGTACATGTGGGGTATGGGTATGGGTCAGATATTACAATACCCATACCCCTACCCATACCCATGTGCTGGGTTTTCGCGTGCTTTAGCATGTTTTGGTCGCTCTCAACATCAGCATTGTTTGTACACACTTGTATCTGCTTGTCCACTCCACATTCACTCATACTCATTCTCACTTGTTTCAATTGCTTGTCTTGACTTATTTGTGCTTGTCCACATTTGTTTCAACTTGTTTGTGCTTGTATCAACTCATCGTCGCTCATCATCCAATGCCGCCACTTATTTCATATGTTGCGCTGCTTGCACATGTAGACTCGACTCTGGATGGGGGACTAATATGTCTGTTGGACAAGGTGTGTGTGTGTTTTTTTCCAACATCACGTGTGCGGCTCACTTGACAGGTACATTCATATATGGTAAAATAAACTAAAAGATGGACAGCACATGAGCCAACCATGACACATTTTTCCTGTTCTCTGTTTGGATGTGCTCGCCCTCAATGTCCTCTCCTCCGGCTCTATCCTTTGGCCAGTTGCTGCATCTCTCCCTTGGCTCTTGTCCCTTCAGCTTTCTCTCCTTCAGATTCATCAGATCCCAACATCCACTCCTCCTTCTTAACATCTGTGCCATCCACATATGTTTGAGTCACGTCAGCATTTGCTGACATGTGCTGGACATATGTGCTAAGCACTGGCGGCTGACCTGCAGGTTTACCCTCACAGGGTTGTTGCTACCCAGAAGGAAAACCCGTACACATACCTGTACCCACAGTGCGGGTATGGGTATGGGTCCGACTGCGCACACCCAGGGGTATACCCATGCAGTTCCCTAGTGGGAGGAGGTTGTGGTATTCCACTATACAAACTAGGTCATCAGCCATGCAGGAAGAAAGAATTTTGCCCATTGTGTTGAGCAGGGTGATGGGTCAGTACACTTTCAGTAGGCTGTAGTCCAGTCTTTCTGGTTTTCACAAGACCACCATTGAGGATAGTTTCCAGTCTTCGGGGTAGTGTTTGAGTGTGAATGTGGCACGAAAGATGGGTTCCATGTATGGCACTAGGAGGTCAGTACATTTCTTGTATATACACTTACATATTCCATTCGGTCCTGGGGCTTTGTATGGGGAGAGTTTATCTATGGCACGGTTTATTTGGTCATTAGTAATAGGTGTGAATTTGCAAATGGGAGGATTATAAATGAAATTGGGCTCAATGTGTTCATTGTTGGGTGGCAGTTGAAAGAATACATTGTAAAGAAGCTTGCTTTTCCTCATGTTGTCCTGCATGGTGTTCTTTCCATTGGGGTCTTGTGGGTCTTTCAGCATCTTGATCCTGGTGTGGATCTGTTCTGATGAGTCACTGGCTGCATAGTGGTGAAAGTCCCAGATGTTTGTGGGTGTGATAGCCTTGAGCCATTCTTCCCAGTGTCCTTTCTTTGCTTTCTTGATGTTCTCTCAGAATTGGTTATAGTGAGGCAAAATTCTTCATGGATGGGATCTTGTTGTTGAGCTATTAGGTTCCTAGCCTTCTTACCAAGCTTATGTACATACTTGTTTTTATTCGATGTTGAGGTCGTTCAACCACCATTGTTTGGCATAGGGTGACTGCTTGATTTTTGGTATGTGGTCCTCCATGGTTTTGGCAATGGATTGGGTGAGGTTAGGGATGTGCACGGGTAAACCCTGGGGTATCACAGGTGCCACCCATACCCTTACCCAGAGATGTACCCATACCTGCGCTGAGGGTATGGGTGTAGTGATGGGTATGAGGATATAACACCCAGGGTACCACCCATGGTGGGTATACCCTGAGGGTATAGCATACTATAATGAAATACTACAAAAAAAGACTATGTAGCTACTCAATGTGGTTCCAACCATCCTCGAGTTCTTGCTCATTAGCATCCTCAACATTAGGTAGGGAACTAATCTTGACAACGTCTTCCGCCTTGACAAGGTTGAGGCGGCTCCAATAACTGAGGCATAGGAGTGCTCAAGTAGACTGAGCCGTCAGACATGAATGCACGTGAGACAGAAGGAGGTGTCCCTTGCTGAACAGACGTTCGACATCGACTGATGTAGCTGTGAAAAATGTGTGATAAAAAACATGTCAGAACAAACCCATAAAGGAGGGCAGGCATGGACTCACCAGGTATTGTTAAGTAGTCTAAGGCCATATGAGAAAGGTGGGGATATACTGCACAGTGCTCATGCCACCAGGCAATAGGATCGGGGACATTCTTGATATCGGCGTTGAGGTAGCGCTCCAGTTCATCCCCCAGGTCAGTTGACTTGGGTGGTGCCAGTGCTGGCATATTGTCAAATAAATTCTAAAAGGTCAAGTTGTAGTTAATGAGCCATGCAAAAATAAAGAAAAACACATACCTCATGAGCTGTAGTATTCAACACCTCAATATCATCACTGTTCTGTTGAATCCCCACCTCAAGGTATGACCATTCAAACTCGTCACGCACAAGTGTGGCCACAGTCTCAATCCAGGTGTTCTCCCACCGTGTGTTCTTGAAATAGGCCAATTTATGGCATGGATGCAGTACTGTAGTAATAAATAAACAAAGGTCAGTATCATAATATTATTTAAATCAAAAAAGACTCACCCATAGCAATCCGGTATACCTCAGACTTGTCGGTCAACTGGTAGTACCGGTTGAGTGTTCGTTTTGCAAGGCAAACAGCCGCACAGATAGAAGGGGAATATTTCCGGTTGTCTGAGTAGGTGGTGAGTTGCTCATCAATCAAATCCATTGCAGGAATAACCTTTGCAAGGTTAGGTGTCCCCCGCAAGAAAAACAAAGTGGCATCCTTGAGAATCTTGAATGTCATGTTTAGTAAGCAATTTCCAGTAAGTGACCCATGCCTACCTTCAATACATCCTGCAACTGGCTGACAATCTCCCAATCACTGTCAACAAACTCAAACTTGCGCAATCCTAGGTCACGCCGCTGAGTGACTGTGTCAATCGCTTCCTGATGGACAACAGCATAGTCCAGCATATCAAAGGTTGAGTTCCAGCAGGTGCAAACATCCCGTGGCATATTCATTGGAGTCATTTGTAGGTCGAGGAGGATTTTGCGCCAGGCAGGAAGCAAGATCGTTGTGGAATTGATCAGTTTGTAAGAAAGCTTGCGCAGCTAGAGGGAGCCATCAATATTGAGGTACGCTTGAGTATTTTTCGTCTTACCTTCAAAAGCACTGACTTTACCGGTTGGATATCTCTTTGCAGCTCAATTCGTTTATCCTGGTCCAACAGCGCTACCTCGTCCACCCAACCATCCTCATTATCTGGCAACTCCTCATCAACATTGGCACTGGCGTCCTCACGCTCAACCTCATTGCTCAGATTAGCAAACTCCGTATCACTCATATCACTCGCCACATCATCATCTGTTTCTCTTGCAGCCTCAGCCTTCTTCGTTACATCGAACTCACAAAGCAGGGACTTGGCGATCAGATTTACGGTGTGCAAGAAGCACCATGTGTGACTCGCTGCCCCCCCAAAGCCAGGAAGCAAGTCCTCGAGCCCACCAACCATGATGTTGTTGTTCAAGGTATTATCACATGTTACACTCAGGATCTGTGGAACAAGTTAGCAAGTAAGTTTTTTCTATTAAATGCCTTGTACCTTGTCTGATATTCCAAACTCTTCTAGCATCTTTGCAAATACTGCAGCAAGTTCTGCACCAGTATGGGACTGGTCAAGTCATCATGTCATTGTGTGTGGGCACCTCTTAAGTCTTTCAACATACCTTTGCCACTTCAACAATGTCTAATGGCAGACTCAGTGGGACTCCATTGTGCTCGAGATGGACCGATACTGCCACAAAGGCTCTATGGTTGGTGGAAGTCCAAGTGTCCATAGTAAAATTGATCTTGCCCTCATATTCCTGGTAAGTCAAGTCAGTTTCATGCATATTGAGCATTAAGTCACTAACTCTCAACATTTTAGCAATGTGTTGTCGAGTGCATGCGAAAACGAGCCGTACATCACACGAGATGGTGGTTGGGGAAGGTAAGTAGTATTCTGGTCGGCCTGTTTTCATTAATGATTGAAACCCTCGGTCTTTGACTATCTCGAATGGTGTAGGTGAGGAATGTAGAATGATAGAAAGTGGGTGGTATGAGATATACTCAGATGGTCCTCTGTGCGCGAATCTAATGTTGGCCCAAGGGGATTGCTACTGAGAAGGTTCCTCTATATATAACAGTGGAGGGAAACACTGAACCGGGCTGTCGGATAAGTCTGGTGAGGTGCGCGATGAGCGAAAGCGCTACAAAGCGCTACTGAGCGACGAGTACGATGGCGCGCGCTGAGTGAGAGCGAAGCGCGTGTGCGGGTGGTGGAGTGCAGCGACTCCTTAAGTGAGTCGGGAGACAAGTAAGATGTTGTTTGTATATAAGAATATGAGAACTAGCGCTTGTGTCGGCTCTGGCACTTAGCGTCGGTCGGCGGATATGATGGAGCTTTAGACTTAGAGTCCAACGATGTGCGGGAAGAAGAAGAAGATCATTCTACATAGAGGCAAGGTATATATATATTCTAAGTAGCGTTAAGCGCTGTCAAGCGCTAAAGCGAGCCGGAAAGCGGAGCAAGTACATGATGATATGTAATAAGGGTCCGTGACGAAACATACAGAATATGTGCGCAAGCGCTGGAGATATGTCAGAATACATGAGAATAAAATAGGAATACACACCGACAAACCAAACGGACATGGAATGGATGGACGGAGGACGAGCGACGGAACCGAGGATACATGCGCCAATGCGCGACCGAAGCGCCTGTGCACGTGAGCGGCCAACGAAGCGCCAAGTGCGCAGAATGGGATATGGGTCGCGCTGTGTTTGGAAGGTGTTTAGGGCGTTGTAGAATTAGCTCTCTACAAGGCCACAGAGATGTCAGTCTCTACAATGGTCGAAGGCTTTCAGAGACCCAATGCACAAGCTCAGCTCTGCATCATGTTAAATTTGTCTGGCTGCATAGTGTCAAAGACTTACTTGGTCTCAGCACGGGTGTGTTGACGGTTGGAGTATGTCACCTTCCCCTTCCCCTTGCGTTCAAAGGACGCCGTTATTGATCTGTTTCGCAGGATTCCCGGAATGATTTTTGTGTGGACCTCGCTGGCATCCTTTGCATCATCAGCAGCTTGCAGTACCACATCACCCCAACATGATTTGACATGCTTCCGCATATTTCCAGTGGACCGGGCATCTTTTTTGTCCAAATACCGTCGGATGGTGGTCTTGCATCCTCGCGCACTACATTTGAACTCATGGGCCCAGCAACCATCATTCTCAATGATGCGCGGTGTTGGGTCAAAGAATGCATAAACAGGTGAAGTCCATTCTTTCATTAACCGTTCTATATTTTCATTAACGAGAATGTTTGCTTGAACAAGGGTGCTCATACTTAGCTCGTCAGCAGCACTCTCAACATCTGGGCTGGATGATCGGTGCTCAGTATCGTTGTCATTGTCGACATCATCATACAAAGCAGCCTCTTCTTCCTCAGTTCGAACAATGGCCCTGTGTACTACTGGTACTGGTGCCAGCTGCGGTGGAGGTGTTATTTCTTCCGAGTCTTCCAAGGATGGTCCGTCACCAGAACCATCTGGTGGGGTAGCTTTTGCCTTTTTGGATTTGATGGCTGCCATGCTTTCTCCACTTGTGTTGTTCTTCCTTTTCTTTGTCAAGGCACCATTAAGCTTCTCCTCAATAGCAGCTCTGGCCTTGTCAGTCAATTTGGTGACTCATTTAGCAGTTTTTGAAAGCAAGTTGAGCTGCATGGTGTGTAGGCTGTAGGGAGCACTAACTATCATTCATAAATCTATGTAGTGAGTATCATTAGAGTTTGACAGCTATACAGTAGTGGAGTTTTGGTTTTTATGAAGTCTACATTTGTTTTCATGTGTCAACCCAAGGCAAGGGTATGGGTAAGGGCACAGGTAGGCTAGAACCAGACCCCCACCCATACCCTGGGTGTACCCACACCCATGACCCGCATGGGTTTCCAAAACCTGTGCATATCCCTAGGTGAGGTGCATGAAGGTGGCTTGAAATTCTTCTATGGTTTGGATGTCAGCAGGTGGTGGTATCAGAATATTTGGGGCTAGTGATGTTCCCGGCCTGGCTTGGGCTCAAAGCCCCGGCTTAGGCTTGGCCTGAGGGGGCTTAGGCTCACCAGATTCCAAGCCTGAGCCATGAGCCCAAGCCAGCCCAAAGCCAGGGCTTGTGCCCATGTAAGCCGTGGCCCGCATGCTGAATAAATGTCCGAGCTCCACCATGCCATTCCCAACGCCACAAACGCCATGCGCAAACGCCCAGCACACGTCAGCAACTGCTGACATGGCTCAGATGAATACGGACAATGGATGAGAGCAGGAGAAGGGAAGAAGACAAGGAGGAGGACGAGAATGAGAGAGAGGAGATGGACAAGACAAGTAGGAAGACATTGAGTAATCTGTAAAATAGAAATAAAAATGAATTGCGTTAAAAAACGCACCATGCAGATGATGACGAGTGAGAACCATGAATGGGCAAGAATCATGAGAATGAGCGTTGAGAGCGGGCTCGAGTCTGACGCAGGAGATGGATATTAGAGTTGTGTATGTATGATGAAAATTATGAACAATTGGTGGGGAATCAGGATAGAGTACCAGCGGAGTGACTAAGTACAAGAACAGATGCGTTTTTGAGGGCGCTAAGCCATCGCAGTTCTGCGTTGTTTGTTGAATGACAGGGAGGGGAGAAAGTCTTCGTTCGGCAGGGCTTGCTGGTGCCGGCGTGTCCTGTTGTTGTTGTTGTTGTTGTTGTTGTTGTTGTTGTTGTTGAGGGATGAGAAGGACAATGGTGACAACGACAATGACAACAATGACAACAGTGAGAACAGAATTACCAAAATGAGCGACCGAATGGCAACGTCCGAAAGTGGCAGGTGCCGGTGAATGTTGAACGTTGAACGGTGTACTGGATGGGTGACGCTTCCTTTCTTAGCTGCACGTCACCTGCCTCAGACGGTAATCTGTCGTATACTGTATGTACCAAAGCCGTGGCTTGGGCCGCTGGCTTAGGCTTTTCTAAATCCAAGCCCAGGCCTAAGCCCTGCTCAGGCCATGACTTAGGCCTGGGCTGGGCCTGGCCTATTTGGGCCCGGCTTGGGCCGGCCCAGGGCTTCAAGCTGGGCCTTGCACATCACTATTTGGGGCATTATTTAACACTTGGTGTTTGGATGTTACTGTTTCCAAGCCTAAATATAGCTGACGAGGCACGCTATTGCTAAGCCTAATAAGGCTTCCCAAATGGGCTATCCAGGTGTTTTGGTGATGCCTACAGGATGCTCTATGTGTTGCTAACAGTTTTTCGTGTTAACGTTCAAGAAATCAGCTTTATTAGTTCTGAATAACAGCTGATTTCTAATAAATAGTAGCAAGTAACTATTGAGGCTATTTGGGCTCAAACTCGAAGGGTTTGTGACCCGATGAAGGTTCAACGATACAGCGAGGCACAAACAATGCTCCTGACTGTATCTATAATTGTTGTAAGGTCGTGCGTTGCCTAGTCTGCTATACTTGAGACGACAAGTGCGTTCGACCCTAAAGGGGAAGCGAGTGCAGCAAGGATCTAGAGGTATGTGCTGAAAGCGCTACTGGTTGGCCAATGCGAAGCGCGGGAAAGCGCAGGTGCGCGCGAGGCGCGAGAATGCGCGAAGCGCGGGAATGCGCCCGCGTGTATGCGGAAACAAGAGAGAGTAAGAGTGAGTTTGCTTAGGTGATGATATGATGTAAGACAAAAGAAGGGAGATGCGAGGTGTAAACAAATAGATTTCTACTATGTTCTGCTAGGTAAATAGTGGGTAGTAACCAGTAAGTCCTCTGTCGTTCTGGTGGGAGAGTAAGTGAGTAAGTGAGTATGTACTGCTGGCGCTTAAGTATGGCGCCTAAGCGCTGTCATGCGGAGCCGAAGCGCTACCGAGTAAGGTATGTAAAGATATATGTAAGTAAGGGTCCATGATAAAAATAAAGATGGAACAATATGCAAATGTGAGAAATGGAAATATACGCACTAGGGAACTTGGTGGACAGTGGATGGATGCTTCCGGATGGCTGGCGCTATAGGGCGCTACAGCGCGGGAAAGTGCGCGCGCATATACATCGTGAAGCGCGGGAAAGGTACGCGCGCATGGCGCGCGTTGCGCGGGAAAGCTGCGCCTCATATAGAGATAGCTGCAGGTAGCACACAGAGTGATGCTACAAGTTCGTGCCATGTACTCCCCAGTGAAAACTGCCATATTGCACAATGAGAGGCATGAGTCTCTACACCGAAACATTGTTTCAAACCTGCAGGAAAGTCCAGGATGAGCCGTGATTCCCAAAAAGCCTGAAAGGAGCCCTGCAATGCGTCAGGCGCAGCATGGACTCCCATCTCCCAAGGAGAAGGGCGAAGCATATTAAGAATCGATATTACTCACTGTTTAGTGCGCTGGGGGCATTGTATACCTGGTAAAAGGTTCTAACGCTGGGGATTCTTGAAGGTACGGGGCTAATATAAGCGCGTGTTTGTGAAGGTACCTGGTGAAGGCTTCACTGGACCATCTGCCTATCGACTTCACTACGTCGAAAGGCACTCCGCACAGCAAGTATTCCAGAGTGCCACCTATGTGCAATCCGTGTCCTTTAAAGTTTCCTAGACCTGCTCTCTTTATTATACCATTAATCCTCTTCCAGAATTCATTCCTCGTCAATGGTCTCACTCCTTTGATGTGCTTCCACACAAAGAGATGTCTGTCACACTGCAGATCATTTATTGTGAAATGATGCAATAGCGCTGTCTTTGGATCTGTCTGATTGTCTTGTTGTGCCCAATAAACACTCTCTCCCGATGCTGATACCTTGGTACATGGTATAAAGATTTTGGTCGCACAAAAATGATGCCTGTCCTCGACACAAACTCCACATCCAAGCGCTTGACTGTTTTTCCCAGGTCAAAGTCTTTCATTGTCTTTGTTGTGAGTTCTCCCAGTCGACATAATGCATAGAATGCTGTTGTTAAGCATGCAAATACGGCGGCATCCAATGGGGTATCTAGATTAAGATGCGCTCGAATCTCAAGGATCAGTTTCACTGTGAATGGCTCTCGTTTGGAGCATTTAGATGAAGAGGGTGTAAGTTCTGCTGCCCTGTCTAGTGACACTCGTAACTGATCCTGGTTGACGATCCAAGATTGTCCGTGTATTGTATGCCAAGCTTTGACGGTGTAGACGTAATTCATAAGTGTCTTGCCTGAGTATGACCCTGCGCAACTGGAGATGAAGTTAAGGATGGTCCGTGTGTCGACCGGACAGTGTTCATCCTCTGGAATTGATCTCTCATCGCAGAATACATGAAAAACAAGAAGACCTGTGCCAAAACATTCTCTTGTCCCAGCTGTCCACGATAAATTCATGACGGTGAGCACTCTCTCTAAGTCTTCTGTGATTAGTGCGGGCGTAACTGCGACATTGCAGGTACTAACCCCTTCTTGTAAGGCTGAGGCTTAGCGGGTAGCTCTGTTGGTAGCGACACTTTGAATCTGGAATTACTGACAATGATGCTGTTGCTCTCGATGGATAAAGAAGAGTGAGTCCTTGATTGCTCTGTGACCGTCGTTGTGAGATTCATCTGTATCGTTGCGAGCAGAGCTTTTGACGATGAATGCGTCCGTTCTGTCTGTACTATAGTCTGCTGGGTTTGTGGATATGATGAAGGGATCGACGATAAAGGGCTGAAGCTCGGCTGGGATGGGGATGTAGGGGAGGAGGTATTCTGCGCTCTTGTAGATACCTCTCGACGGTTCATCTGCTGGATTACGTTTACTCGTGACGTAGGCTGGGTGGAACGAGTAAGGCGTTGCGGAACTGTAGATAAGGTCGAACATTCGTCTGAAGACCAGGTTAACCGCTTTGTTTCTACTGCGACCATTGCGTTATCCTTCAATGACGCCCTGGTTGTCCCCGTAAACTCTGAAATGTCTCTCTGACTTTCCCATTCCGACAATGTGCATAGCAAGGAGCTCGAATCCAACTGCCTCTGCCCATCCAATGTCTTTTTGGCCGTTGTAGAGATACAACAATTGCTGGGCACTACACAAAGTAAGTAGCCAGCAATATAAAAATGTTGTGGTCGTGCACAGCCTAGTCTGCTTATACTTGCAAGACAAGTGCATTCGACCCGAGGGGCTTGCTGTTGGTATTAGAATAATCAGTTATATCAAAAGGAAGATAGTCCGAAGTGCGGGAAACAAAGTCCGAAGGTATAATTACGAGTCCGATGTCAAAAACGTCGGGTCCGATGTTTTCAGGTTTCGGGTTAGCGGGTGTGCCTTGGGTTGCGTCGGGTTAGCGTCGGGTTTGCGTCGGGAATATAGTGAATGTCGGGGATAGCGAATGGCGGGTTACTGTCTGATGTTTCAGATAAAGAAAGGATGATATTGTGGAATCCAGCTAAGAACTACGAATATCAGATGACCTCCTCCTACTCGGAGGTAGAAAGGTAAAGTAAATAGGTAGGAGGTATGCGAAATATATAGTATCTATGTAGAATTTCGGAGTGCTATAGGCGAAAGTAGTAGCACTGATTTTCGGGTCCAATGTCCTATGTAATAAGACACGATGTACTGTGGACATGTAATAATGCGTTCTACAATGTTAGCGACGTGAAAATGAATAACTGTGCACCTAGTGGGGATAGATACGACAGGACAAGACATAGGGAGGACAAGTGCGCGGGAAAACATCGGGTCCGATGCGCGGGAAATGTCAGGTCTGTCGGGTTTAGCAGGTTAGCGTCAGGTTTAGCGGATAAACATCAGATTGAGCGGATGAGTGTCAGATAACATTGGAAGTGATTCATGTGTTTGACGTGCATGGCAAAATAGCTGAATATGAGCCTAGCGCAAGTTCGAGTGCTACACCATCGAGTGTCTGCCAGCCTTTGTGTAAATGCCAGGCTCACCATCTATCGCCAATGATGATAGCAATTCCAACGCCCGAACTGGCGTCAGAGTATGCGGCTGGGTCATGCAGCATAAGCGGTCTGGGAATCGGTCGTCCCACAAAGGAAGATCGCAGAATCGTCGACCACCAGAGAAGATTGTACTCAAGACTCTTAACTGGTCGTCGTGAGATAAATGGCTTTTGGGAGGCAATGCATAGCATTGCCTCCAAGGATGTAAGGTAAGCGCGACCTTTCGGTACCACCAGGGTAGTGTGCAGCAGCTTACCGTACAATTGTTGTACATCCAGAAGAACGTGTGTACCGCATTTCTGCCAGACTTCGATTGCCATAAGATACTTAGTCATCTTTTCTTCCGCGAGGTATACTTTGTCCAATTCCAGGTCCCAGATAATGCCGATGTAAGGATTGTTAAAGTTGAACGCTTTGTCTTTGAGTTTCTCCCAGGGAATGTCAAGTTCTTCCGAAAATTCGTCAATGTCCTCCATGCTACATGAAAAATGTCCATCTTCCGCAGATCTCAGCAATGCTCCCGAGAAGTCCCTGATCAGAAACTGACAGTCCTTGTCGAACTCCTCCAGCATGCCATCTTCGAAAATGTGCCCTCCAAACCACACTCTACCTCCATCCTGCTGTCTCCCTCTTTTCTTGATCTCCTCGTGCCATAATGCCCTCTTGACATTGTAGTCTGGTATGCATTCTTTGAGGATTCGAATAAAAATGTGATCGTCGACCCATCTAGAGTTCGGTTCGATTCCTCTAGATCGAAATAGGTCAAGACCGGCATCAGCCAGGTTCCCATATGCTCCGGCTGATGGCCGGAGGCCGAAACACATGCAAGTGTTGATACAGAATTGGTCTTCTGAGATCCGGACAACAGATCCTGGCCATTGTGATGCATGGATTGGGATGGTACGATACGCCTCAGAGATGTCTCTGATGGTGATCTGCGAACCAGGCGGCAATCTACTGATGGTGAGTGCGAGGACATGAAACGTTCCCCAGGTACTGCGAAATTTGTTGGAATTGATATATGAATTGATGGAAGCATTGGGAAACTTGATGGAAGGAACGTGCAGAAAAGAATAATTCTGAATGATCCAGTATCGACCTGGGCGACCCAGCTTCGGAATAATCAAGAATGGAGATGTCTGAAACGGTCCGATAAGACTTTCGACTTCATTAAAACTAAGCGGGCCAATATATCTTTCTTTCTGAAGCTCGGTTTGCACAATAGATAGGAATTCTTCTTGGTATATAGCGACAGAGTCTTTGTTTGGAGGCGCTTGCATGATCTTAATATTAGGAATGTCCAACATGAAACCCCGACGTAGGCTCTCAGGAATATGCGGGTATCTGTCAATGAGACCCGTTGCAACGAGTTCTGTTTCCCATGCTCCTGCATTATATGGTGTGAGCGCTCTATGCCTTCTGTGCTCGAGGACATGTTTGAGCCCTGTGAGTCGAGAGTCCGCATCCCAAACAGAAATGCCTTCGGTCGTGCGTGATCTCCACACATCTGCTGACTCTCTGCCAGTCGCTGAAAACCGCTTTTCCGTCTCGCATGGTGAGTACCCTTCTGATTTGTGCACAAATAGTGTTGTGTGACTCGTCCCAGAGTTTGGCTGACTTGCATTCGATGATCTTGTGCAGGTTGCGTCCCAGACATATGGCGCAGGCGGAGAGGATGCCTCCGCTTGCACCAGCATGAAAATCCTGATGCGGTCTTTTCGCTCTATTGCTATGATCCAGGGACACTGTACGTTTGTGCGAATCTTTGTACTCTCGCTGCTGCGAAGATGAGTTGAATCAGTGATCCGACTGTGGCATGAAGCGAAGCGTGTGGCATGTGGCATTTCGGGTGAGGCATGTAGCGGTGTGTGAGGCATGTAGCAAAGCAATTGGTATATTATACCAAGATTTAATGTTTTAATTCGTGACAAATTAAGGCGAAATAACGATTAGTGTGTGCTTGTTTACAACTAATGAAATGATTGCTGACCTTGTAATCCCGCGCATTATCTCTCTTTGAACGATCCTCCCAGTAGACTTTGCTCCTTGTGTCCTCTAAGACCTTCTCATTGATTATCGAGAGATCATATGGACCTACCACGGATTTGGCTGCAATGTGCCAACGTCTCCATTGTTCCACTTGGTAGACTAACAGAGTTTTCTGGGCTAATGGATCTCAGAGTGACCGGTATTTGTGAATATGCAGATTCCTCCAAAAAATAGCCGTCATCCTAATCCTGTCTTGCGGCCAGTCTGCTTCCTCTAAGGCTGCTAGGAAACGAGGACACGCCTGACAGAATTCCTCGAATGGTAGGTCCAAGCTGTTGAACCATCCGGTAACGAGGATAGAATCATTGCATCGTCGTCTACCGTTTTCTTAGTTGACACTTCATCTAATCCGCTGTTCGTGAAATACCACAACTCCAGATACTCTCCCTTGTCGAGCTTGCACAGTGCGTATGAGCAAGGAGTGACCGCCGGGTCATCTGGGACGCCCGAATTCTGAATCGGAATATATTTGTGTTTATTCTTTTTGGGTTCTTCTTTGCATGTGTCCTCCTCCTCATTGATACGTTCTTGTTTCAAACGTTCTTGCTCGTCTTCTTCCATGCGTCGCTGATGGACTAATTCCTCCCTGTCATTCTCCAGCTGTTGTTGCCATAAACGCTTGTCTAGATTGTTGTTAGCTAGCCAGATGTTTCTGAGCAACTGCACCGCTTGTTCTTCTGTAGTGTTATCATTCACTAGCTGTGCTCGAGTGTTTGCGAAGTCCTCCAAATTGTAATCCGGGCATAAATTCAAGTTGGGATCACTGCGAATGCGCGGCATAATGATATTAACTGAAGAATATTCTTTTTAAAGAAGCTGCGACGAAACGAGCGTGCCGTCGTGGAGAATAGTAAATGCGAGTGCTGAGTGGAAGTACAAACCAAGAAGCGTGAGAACCCGAAAACACTGTGCCGCCACATAAATCTAATTCTACGTACCTCCTCGTGCCTCGAACTAACGTAGAATCTAAGAAGTAAAGTACGACAGTTTTCGGAAACGCACAGGCGCTCGCGTGGCTTTTGCTAAAGGCCACATGGGAGCGCTTAGCTCGCTTAAACCTGTTTTTGGAAATCTCGCGTGGTTTTCTCGTGTGGCTTTCGAGCACCGACTCACTTGCCTATTAGAGCAGCGCACTACACAACACAAGTATTTTCCACAAGTATTTTCCCGGTACATACATACAGTAAATAATAAAACTAAAATGGAACAACAAATATATGGGGTGAAGGAGATAAAAGAGATCAGTAGAAAAGAGCTGTGAAAAATCAAAAAAGGGAGCAAAAGACAATGTAGACTCAAAAATTGGAGAATGAAAGGACAAGAAATCAGGAAACTGTGAAACTGGGAGAACAGGAGATGGGGAAACTGGGAGAATAGAATAATGTCACCCATTGGAAACTTAGCACAATGTTGGTAATACATGGCATTAAATAATGTGTTTGAGCAGGGGGACAACAGGATTTGAGTGTTTTGCCTACTGTAATCATTAGTAGTGGCTGTATATGTACATAAATGGAACAACATATGATACAATTACAGACAGGGAGATAACAAATGTGGTGACAGGAGATAAGATTCAAATAAAAAGAGACAAAGACAATGTAGACTCAAAAACTGGAGAACGGGAGACGGGAGACGGGAGACGGGAGACGGGAGACGGGAGACGGGAGACGGGAGACGGGAGACGGGAGACGGGAGACGGGAGACGGGAGACGGGAGACGGGAGACGGGAGACGGGAGACGGGAGACGGGAGACGGGAGACGGGAGACGGGAGACGGGAGACGGGAGACGGGAGACGGGAGACGGGAGACGGGAGACGGGAGACGGGAGGACATGGGACACAATGGGAGACGGAAGGCAAGGAAAAATGGGAAAATAAATACATTCAATGATACTGTTACATATTTTGTGATTTTACTTTTGTCAAAATCCTACTCAAAGAATGCAGAACTGACTGATCTTATGTACTACACACTTTTATATGGTGTGGTAGATTGTACTTTCAGTTTTTTGAAATCCTACTCATAAATGTATTTTCAAAATCATTCAAAATGCACAATTTATTAGGATGCAGCCTGAGGCCAGGAAGCCAAAGGAGGGTGCAGTCCTCCTTGGCTTCCTGTGATGAAGGAACAATGCTCATCAGGAGCCTTCAGAATTATTGGGATGAAGCTGAGGCCAGGAAGCTAAAAAAAGAGCGCGAAGCGCTCTTTTTTGCTTCCTGTGCCGAAGGCAGAACGGGTGTGGACTAGTACACATTAGGAGGGACTCGGAGTCGACTGTATGTGACTAATAAGTGTGGGAACATTGTCGCATGTGGTGTCACTCAGGTGACTTTGTGATTCCGCATAGTTCCAAAAAGATATATGGAATCAGCTGTAACGTATAAAAACAACCATGAGAGTTTACATTCACAGAGGATTCCTTACTTTTTCTCATCATTCTTACTTTTCTGGACGGTGGTTACTAGATAGAAATGGCTGAAGTCGTCTCACCTGCAGGCATCCTCCCTCACATACCCGACGACCTCACGCTTGCGCAGTTTATATTGGATACGGACCATGTCAGAAAACCTGTTCGTACGAGTGGTGCTTGGATTGTTGATGATCAGAGTGGTAGGAAGATTGGGGTTGAGGAGGTGAGTCTGCCTGCCAGTGAAATTGAGCAAATCTCTGCGGGGTCACGCGCAAAGTTGGTGTGGTTGACATGAATTGCTATTCCGGTCAATGGTCACAGTAGTTGATCGTGTACTTCACAGCTCAGGACTCGGACGTACGGTCTTGCTAACGCATTGAGTATCCGCTACAACATCCGTGCGTTCTCTATGATTTCATGGTAGTGAGTGCCACATATTGACTGCTCTTGTTCTGCACAGAGGAGGATCATGTTGGTAATGCTATAATTTCAATAACTTGCAAGTATTGATGATCCTACCCATCCTGCACCCCTGATAGTGTTGATCTACAGTCCAAATCATGTTGGTATGCGAATAGTTTTGACGTATGTTGTGTATGTTTGGGTTGACAGAATGAATTCTGCAGATTATCTTGTGGCTGCTTGGGCGGCTCATAGACTTGGTGCTGCCGTGTCGTACGCCCACTTTCTCTAAGTTACCTAGAACATTCATTTTGAAATGCGCCCACAAGCGGTGCCAACCCGCTATTCACAGTTGACGAGCTCGTGTATCAAATAAATACAGTGAAAGCAGCCGTCATCATCACGCACCCAGACTCCCTCAATATTGCCTTGGCGTCTGCATATGCCACTGGTGTATCTGCGGATCGTGTGATTCTTTTTGACATTGAGGGTGTTGATACTGCGCAGAGAGCGACTGTGCAAGTTTTGGTTTCGCAAGGTCTTGCAAGTGCTCCGAACTTCACGGAACGGAAACTTGCTCCTGCTGAAGGGAAGACCAAGGTGGCCTTCCTGAATTTCTCCAGCGGGACGACTGGTCGCCCCAAGGTGAGCGCATATTTCGCGAGGACAATTGGATGTGACTTCCACATGCTATATATCAGGCTGTTGCAATACCTCACTACGCGCCGATTGCAAATGTCATTCAGCTTGCCACGCACCACAAGGTCGGTGAGGATTATGCTGGACAAAGATTCAAGCCTGGTGACGTATGTTGTGCTGGTGCGTGCGTTGTCGTTTATCCAAAGGGTTCGGTTTGATTACTTGCGCAGTGCTTCCTTTATATCGTAAGCCATTACCACTCTTGCGACATCGTTATGTTGTTGTGAGACTGATTGTTGCCAGATATTTATGGACTAGTCTTCAATGTACGACCTCGTTTGACTTCAGTCATCTCATTGCTGAATATCTTGTAGGCCCATTATGCCTTTTTCTGCGGAGTACGTCGACACACTCCGAATCTGCAGATGTACACTGACTGAAGTGCATACAGATGACGGTTGTTTTAACAGCGAAATACAACTTTCTAGAGTTTTTGAAGAGCATAATCAGGCACCGTATTACCCATCTTATGTACGTCGTCGTTCGACTTTATTTGACCTCATCTGAACAAGACTTTAGGTTAGTCCCCCCACACATCGTACAACTGTGCAAGGTCAGCGAGTCATGAATGATCGCGTCCCTTACTTATCTACGTCTACCACTTAGCATCCAGCCGCCAAGAGTTACGATTTCAGTCACGTTCGATACGTCACCTCGGGTGCTGCGCCATTGTCTCGTGAGGTGATGGAGCAGCTCGTTGAGGTATTTCCAAATGCCGACCTAGGGCAGAGCTATGGTAAGTCTATCTTTGGAGGGTGCGCGTCCACATCTCATCCCAGCGGCCACAGGCCTTACCGAATCATGTACTGTTATAAGTACTTGGGCGGTGAATAAGAGATGTGACTTGAGTGGTGGTGCTGGCCAACTCCTTCCTGGTATTATCGGCCGTGTGGAGAAACCAGATGGTACTCTTGCGGACTTTGACGAACCTGGCGAACTTGTCGTAAAGACGCAGGCGCTTGCGCTTGGTTATGCAAACAACCTTGAAGCGTATGAGGTCATCTTCCTCGTATCATTCATATATTCACCCCAGTGTGATCAGAACGAAGGAAACTTTCGTAAATGGGTGAGTAGGTAGGCGTTCAATCGGCTAGTCACTGATGTTCCGCTTTCAGATGGCTCCGTACAGGTGATGAGGTGAAGATGAACCGCAAGGGAGAAATTGTAGTCCTCGACCGTTTAAAGGTTGGATGATTGGCCTTAGGCCTTGGTCTCACCTGATTGAGCGGCCCTACAGGAAATGTTGAAGGTCCGTGGATTCCAGGTTGCCCCTGCTGAGCTTGAAGGGTGTATTCTGGACCACCCCGACGTAACTGATACGTGCGTGGTTGGAATACAAGATGAATATAGTGGCGAATTACCACTGGCGTTCGTCGTTCTCCACCCTGACGCCACCAAACGTGTTGAAGAAAACCGTCAGGCCGCGGACGAGATCAAAACATCGATTATGAAGGTTGGTGCTTCAAAACTCCAGTGAACGCGTTGTACTTATACTTCAACTTTACAGCACGTTGTTGATAATAAAGTTGGCTACAAAAAGCTCGCTGGGGGTGTTGAGTTTATTGATGTTGTCCCGAAAAACCCGAGCGGTAAACTGTTGAGGAGGGCGCTAAGAGACAAGGCTCGGGAGATGCGAACGAAGCCCAAAGCGAAGCTGTGACATAGTGATCCTCTTTACGAGTCCAGCATATGCACGCCCAATACTACCCTTGTTTATTACTCCTTTGTCGATAAATTGTTTCAAATTCCAATAAAATTGATGCATCGCGCCAGAATCAAGGACTCATCCCAGGGTTCTACCATCAATCGTGTTGGAAAAATAGGCATGCTACTGTGACTAAAGAAACATATGAACCGCCGGGGCCCGGCTCGTGGCCCGTGGGACTCAGACATCTACTACACGGTACTAGATGGTCCCACGAGTCCGTGTGTCCCAAGAGTCCGCGCATTGACTCTAGCACACGCAATTCTGCACAGAATCCTTATCCATGATAGATCTGGATTCGCCCAAACATAATACACACTGCCATATATTTTTTTTGAAGAAAATCGAAGTAGATCTTGTTCCATGGGCAACTTATCAGTGCGAGAGGCATAGAAGGCTCACTCTAAAGGTCAGATCTCCACATATAATTCTGGAATATTGTGAGATGGTTATATACATGATTAGAGAATACTAAAACAAATTTATTCGGGGCACATGCTTGTCAGGATCATCTGCGATAAAGAAATAAGCCCCAGACGTGACAATCTGCCCAAAGCGTTACATAGAGACTGTGTAATCAAAACTCCGCAATGCCGAAATGCTTTACACATGCACAACTTCACAACATTTATAACGGTGCGAATTCTGCGGAGCGTGAAAAGGCATTGCGGCAGACGTGTGACATAGTGTGACAAAGTGCGCGAACTCTAGGGAAAATGCACTTTTCTGCGCGGTAACTCTCCGCTGGACTCAACACGTCAATTTTCGAAAAAGAAACTAGCAGACGTTGTACTTTCGATGTCACGCTATCGAACTGTCAAATAATTAATTTTGTTTGTTTGTGCGATGTGGAGTAATAACCGTTTTGCCAAAAAGGCGCGAACTCCCGTGGACATCTAGTATGTATTCTTCCGAAGAGCTCCCCAGAGTCTGACAAACTTCAATACCCCAGATGGTCCATCAGCTAGACTTTCACCTATTCCAACTCGATCCTTTAGCTTGAAGTTGCGGGTGCGAAGCAAATCCGGACTCCGCCTTCGGAAGCTTCTGACTCGGATTTGCATCATGGTTGACAAAGTTTCAGTTAGCTGTGTTGAGTAACGTTGAATTCTTGAATTTTTAGCCTCGTAATACGTGCATCTTTCTGTGGATAGCGAGGGTCGACAATTGTTCGTAACTCGAGCACTCCGAACACGGTTCACAATCCAGGACTCGCGTTAAGTTGGTGCAGCCGCGGTGGTTGACCTTGAGCAGTATGTCTCTTCAGAATTATCCACCATTCTTAGTATTGACTACTCTCACTTTCCTTTTTCTGAAAAAAGTCAACGACTGGGATGACCAACTTCAACTGTTATATCGATCGCCTGCCGGACGACGCGCTCCGCATGATTTTCGAGTCGGTCTGTGAAAAAGACCAAGTCACCTTTCATGATTATTCTATGCAAAATGAAGTGCAGAAAGGCAGGTATTGGGATGACTGGTACCAAGATCAATGTTGGTACGATGAGTCGGAAAAAGAATCCAATGGCCCTCCACCATCGGCTCTCATTGCAGCAATGTGTGTGTGCAAACGTTGGCGTTGTCTCATGTCACAGATTCCAACATTGTGGACTGTGTTACAAATCTCCTTTGGCGACCGTGCTGCGTCTCTTGAAAAA